ATTATTTCAATGCTTGCATCATCTTGTACATATACTTCAGATTTCAGACAATCTTGACCATTTTTGCATGACTCCTATAAAATGACTGTAAAGGCAATTAAACTTACAACGGGATTTAAATTGTAGTGCTTTTTAGATAAGTATGTTTTGTGTTTTATGCAAATTAAGTAATTGAGGGTGGGGTGGGGGTAGTTGATGATTCAAGAAAATGAACAACGCGTCATTGGCTAGACTATGATTAAAAAAAGCATCAGGACATTTATCCCAGAATATAACAAAGAATTCAACAATTTATACTTGCTTCCCACTTCCTACTCGTAACATATATCTCGGAGACAAAGCATCGGCAGATTATTGTTGATCCGCTGCACGACACGGCAACTGTACATGCTTTCTACAGCTCGGGGTAACGTTAATCTAAAAAGGCTTAATTTGTATAAAGTTAGCTGTCGTAGTATACACTGAATCCGAGGGTGACAGAGACACCTAGGAAGGTTCTAGTCCTTTATTCGAAATACCGACTTGAACGGAGGCGCCTATCTCTTCAACAAACATACCTTTACAGAGCTCAATTCCTTTATTGTTATCACTGGTTACAGACTGATAAGGTTTGGTGTACGTTGACTTTCTTTCAGCTAAGGATCAATGTCTGTGGAACTTACAAGGAGGTAAATTATCAAATATATGCTTCAAATCTTTGGTGGTACGAAATCTACCTTTTGTGTCTTAACAGGCGGATTAGTCCGCTTTAAGCATATATTGCACACATTTTACATTATTTTGGTTATTCTGTTAATTTTATGATAAATAACTGAATAATTGAAATGATTTCATAAACGACATTTTGCATTCGAAATATTGGAAATATTCACATTTATTCGTTTACCTGTTTTTTTCTTGTTATTTATTTATTTTTGAACGCATTGATAAGTTGGAAAGCAACGTGGTATTTTGAATGGTCAATATACAGTTCAATTTAAATACTGCATTTTTAAAATTGTACTTTTCACATGGATGGAAACAGAAAATAAATAAATCGCTGTTAATATTAAAGACAAAATGTTCAAAAAAAGAAAGAAATAAAACGCCTACATATCTATGTAATTTTTTATTTGAAGTTCATTGTTATTTTATGTAATCAAGATGTGATAACAAACAAGCATGCAGCTTGACAAATATATAAGAAGAAGAAGGTTTAAATAGCTAAGGATTTCTTTTGACAACGCTTGTTTTTGCTGAATTCAACCCATGTTGTTACCTTCATTATAATTAAGGTATTAGGACCCTAATGGGCACTATCAGGAACTAAAAAATTGACATCATAAGTCAGATGTATACCTTAAAGTACACCTGTATGCAAAATTTAAACAAAGTTTACCGTACGGAAATCAAGTTATGGCCACTTTTCTGAACTCAAGCTAGGATGTTATTAGGGCCCTTTTTCAGAACGTAGGAACCTTTAAATAATCTGCAATAACATTCTAATGAAAAATGTTTCCCCATTAATTATTGGTAAGAAACAAATAGTACCATTCAGCTAACAATCCAAATAAGCAAAATTATGGTTTCTACTTAAAATTTATGAAATCTGTATAAAAATGTTACCCTACCCCACCCATTTTTATCACGTGTCTGACCATTGTTCTACTTAGGGAGCCTAATTTAAAAAATTCTTTAAATTTACCCAAATGAGTGCCTGTTTTCAAAGTTTCCCTAAATTTTTAAAAAAGTATATTGGTTGATCTTGTAAAATATGAAATACTTTTACCGTCTAGTTTTGATTATATTACACTTTGAAAATATCAGGTACCATATTTATTACTAGATTTAGCATAATTTAGCCAATAAATACCAATATGAATTAAAAAATCAAAATTAAACACCTTTTTCTTTCCAAATGGGACATGAGAGATACACAAATAATGTTTAAAGAAAAAAGAAAGAAAAAAAAATTGACGCTTCTGGGGATTGAACCCATGGTCCTCATTTTCAATGTAGTTAACAGTAGTTCTAGCCTATTTGAATACTCTTCAAAGCGATGGTAATGCATAAGGGTGCTAATACCTTAAAATAAAAACATAAAAAAATCTTAAATTGTTATATAAAGTAAATGATTTAATGTTTATTTGTTTCCTTCTTTTATATCTTGCCTATTATTTATAAAAGATTTATAAAAGATGTATGTATATTACAGTAATAACAAGAACCTGGTAAGGTTCGCAAACACAAATATGTACATACCAATAAAATTACAAATACACTTACACTGTAATTTATGTTTGACGAAGGCAGGTAAACACATCATTATGCACAAATCAAAACATTAAACTGATTTTGAAATAAAATTACATAGAATAATTAATTTACAAATATAAATAGTATATACCTGTCCGAGGCCCCTAAAATAACATTTTTGTTATATATTCTCAAGGAAAGAAACATTCTGTTTAAACTAAAACTAATTATTTCATTTAAACGAAATACAAATACACGCTGTAGCATCCCGAATGATGTATGATTTATTTGTTTACAATTCCTACAACTCCTGAATGTTTTATAAATCATAGACACGTATTCACTTATTCTGAAGTCATACGCCCTTACTTAACATTGTGCATGTATTGTATATCAATTCAATTTAAAGCAAATGAACATATATTTAGTTAAAGCAATACATAACAGAATTATTACTGGTTATACATTTGTTCAATTCGACCGTATGCCAATTGGTTCAGTATCGGACAAACATTTTTTGTCAAAAGCATGGTTATCTAGACCTATAACATACAGTGATAATCAACAAGTCTTGAATCAACTGCAAGCCGTATTTGAAGACTGCAAATTATGCCGTTACTAGTCATAATCTTGCTAACTAGAAAATTTAACTCGTTTGTATTGCATGAAGTTCACAGGTTTTTGATATTGCCTAGGTGAGTGATAGCACTTTGTTTTTCAAATAAAATCTTATAAGTACAGAGTATCATAGCCATTTTGGTTGTTTGTTGTTTAAATTGAGTCAACCAACTGAAGAATAAAGCTTGATAAAATTTTGCGATCAGCTTGGAACAAGCTCTGTTCCAAGTGAGTTTTTCGATTTTACGAAAGTAAAAGTTTAATTTAAAAAAAAACGGTTAATCATCTTTGGAAAAAATAAGACAAGAGTGAAGACCAGAAACAGCAAACGTTAGTTTTAAGATGATGTGGCACAATAATGACAAATTTTTGAACTCAATCAAAAGGCATATTAATAGTTTTAGTTTATTACAACTTTGATCTTTTAAAGACCTTAAGAATCTGCTGAATTTTCCTTTTTGAATTTTTCCTTTATCAATGTTGATGTATCATGACAAAAATAATGCTAGTCAGTCAACAGTAAACATGTTGAACCTTGTCAGTCTACATTTATTTGCAGGTTGGTCTGGCCCTATTCTTGTAGCGTCCTGTAATCACTAATGAAATGTAAAATGATACAAAAACAGTAAATCCGTCGTCACAGTATGACTGAAAAAAAGAACAGTTAAATGTATTCTATTATATGATCTAAATATAGCTGCAATCTCATTGGTCCAAACAGTAGGCAACGGAACGATTTATAAAATCATATTCGCTGGGAGTAGAATCATATTCACTGGCTGAATTGGATTTTTCCAATCTGAAAATAGATTGTGACTCGTATTCAATGACCATACTGTGTATGTAGACTGTTAATTACGCGTGTTAAATAAAAAATAATTGTTGCGTTTTGTTCTTTATGGCATTTTTCTCAATTAAATAGCTGTACCTCACTATTAAACTTAAAGACTACATGGCAATGACGAGTATAAAGTTAACTTACTTTAGTATGCGCATTGTTCGAGTAGTTGTTGCACGCCTATCACGTGCGTCTTTTTTCCCGCATTTCAACGAGGCAAATGTTGTACATGTATATAAGGTTGTAATTCTTAGTCTATTCATATAATAAAACAATTATTGACTAGTGAGTCATTGAATATAATGAGATATTCACCGGCAGAAAGTCATATTGACCCAGGCTATCGCCTCTGTCAATATGATATCTGCCGGTGAATATCACATCATATTGACTCACTAGTCAATAACTGTATAATAGTATGAAAATGCTAATTGATATACATAAAAAATATATTGATTTAAATAAATAATATTAATTAATTAATTAATAATTGAAAGTAACAATTTTACGATACATATAGAAAAAAATGTACATGTTTCAATGACACAAGAAATATAACATACTCTTTGAAGAAGTCATTTTTCTATTGGTCACCGTTAAAAATAAGGTTGCTACATTATTGTTGATCCATGAAATGCTTACAAGACAAATTGTATCTTAGAACTTTTATACATCAAGATTTTTAAGCATTTCATTTATCTATTTATTAATTAATTAATTTATTTTTTTTTTTACTTTTTTTTTTTGGTGTTCGGTTTTAAGTTTTACAAGAAAATAAGAAGAAAGTGTCTTATGCCAAAGGATAGAACCAGTGGCCACTGCATTTCATTTTAAATGTTTTTCCTGTTGGGACAAGTAAACAAACACACGTTATAAAAATATCATTTTGCATTGTCTATGTGATACATTTTCGCAAACTTATTTTCATCTTTTTTATAAATATTCATATTTTGTGTTTTATGTTTTGGCGCTGTGTAGAAGATTTATTTTGATTATATTAAAGATAAGATAAAAGGTTGACCTACAAAAGAACGTCTAGTCACTATTTAAAATAGTGTAAGATAATATTTTAACAATGTTTAATACCAGCACATCTTATAACTCACCAAAATTGTCACTGGATTATGCATGCAGCACTCATTTTTCATTGTATATCTAATTTGTGAAACGCAAAATAAATCCTTTTCTTTAATATCAAGTAGGTAAGTAATTGTTTACGTTTCATTACGAATTGCATTAGTTGTGTTATAGCACCATGAAGAATTTTGTTAAATAATTGTTAACAACATTTACTATATTTTCTGTTACAGGCGGAATAGACTAAATAATGTTCGTACAAAAACAACTTTTCCAACAAAGTCTGCTAATCGTCATAGTTGCTCTTTCCTTCGGTGAATACATGGAACCATCCAGGTATCTTTTTTCTTCTTTTTTTTGTCATTTAAACTATCGATTTATCAAGGATATTTTATAAAAAAAATCCACTGTTTGACTTTTGATACTTCTTTTAAATGTTCTTTCTTTTTTGGTGAATTGTTGTTGTTTCTAGGTCACTTTTAAAAGAGTTATGTTTAAGTTTTTGAATTGAAGAAATTTACCACCTTGCTTGAATTTCGCTACTTTGTCGATCTCTTTCTTTCGATAAATATATAGAAGAACCAATCAGATAGTTGAATGTTTGTCCGAAGGTCATTATTACGGCTTTTATCATAATGGAAGACAAATACAACCTTGTTTGAGTGTCTCTTCTTTATTGACAAAACATTAAAGCTGCTTTCTTTATGGTTAATTATGGTAAAGGAACCATCAATAATTACCCCCCCCCCCCGCACTTAATTGTTTAAAGTGTTGACTTTTTTAGGGTAATAAATTAATGATGTTGTGTTACAATCATAATAATATTTATCATATACTTTACATAACATTGTGCGGCGCTAAATTTATATATTCATACAATAGTAAGGTTCTTCGTGGGCTCTTTTGTTATATTTTTGTTGTCTCCCTGTAGTGCACAAATTGTAAAAAAAATGATTATTAAAATAACTCATTATTAACATGGTTATAATGATACAATGAACTGCTTTATGATAATTGTAACATTGTTACAATAAGGGAAACGTAAGTAACATAAACATGTTAGTGGAAAAAAAGAAACAAAAAACACGCTACCCTATAATATCGCCATAATCTTGAGTTATAAACTTTAACAAACAACGAACAGCTTACAATGTTTTCAAGCCTACCATGCTTTAAAATACTTCAAAAACACTTAAAACTTTTAAAAGTCAATAACCTTTACTCAAGATATCGCATCTCTGAAATCACGTGTACAAAGATAACCGAAGAGGTATTTCCTGTGTAAAATTGTTAAAATTTCATTGTGCGGGCAGGGTAATTTCATCTGCATTTGCAATACCATTCTGCGTATCCTTTGATTCCTGTTATTGAAAGAGAAATAAATAATCATGTAAATAAATGTAAATAAATGATAACAGGAAGTGACATCAACCATCCAATGCAATAATGCAGTTGAAAAAACGTGAGTTAAAGCAAAACATATGTTCAACATTAAATTTAAAGAGAGCCCTGACAGCACCTTTATACACACACACCTGGGTCTAAATGTTCAAGTTTATTTAAGCATATTTATATGTTAAATATATATATTCTTTCCTATAAATTTAAAGGAAGGAAGTCATTCTTATTACGTCTTATAACAAACCACACGAATTTGATATGAAAAGCATTTTAAAATTTGAAAAGTCCCTTGATCTTTCACATTATCAAATAAGGAATATAAACACGGCTTTTCTTTGATTTAATATAATGACATGGCGTTTGGCCCTGGATGGCCAATTTCTTTATTAATATGAAGGACCACTAATATGATCATTCTAACGGCCTTATGAAGATCCAATCAAAACACACAAAATCCATCCAAACAAAAATCAAGGGAGATTTTATTATGGTCTTAAAAGTTATATTATAAGATGTATTAGATGAACTGTTTAAACTACCTTTATTATTAATGTGACATCCCTCGAGATTATTTTGGCCATACGCTCCTTGAAATTTGTGATTTTCACCCACCCGTTGGAGAATTTGTTGAAACAACAACAATATCTTTCTATAACCATTTTGGCATCATCGATAAATAATGTTATTATGTGGGATAAACATAATCTTGTTTTAGATAAAAACTATAACTTCTTTTTAAATCCATAAGCAAGTTTGTAAAGTAAATACATTATATTTATGCATTGATGATACGAAAGTGTTATAGAATTTTTAATGATATATGTGTTTTAGTAATTTCAAAATTCAAACAATGTTATATCAGAAAATAATCTAAATATGTTTTAACCCCACATTTATATTCACTGTTAAAGTTTGATAAAATATAAACAATGTCTCAAATGCTTATAAATGTGACTTGATTTGATAAATGATTTGAGCCGCGTCACGACAAAACCAACATAGTGGGTTCATATCAGCATGGATCCAGACCAGCCTGCACATCCGCGCAGTCTGATCACGATCCATGCTGTCCGCTTACAAACCCTATAACAAGAAGAGAAATTGATAGCGATGCGCAGGCTGGTCTGGATCCATGCTGGTCCCAAACCGACTATGTTGGTTTTGTCATGACGCGGCTCATTTGTTTAAAAATATTTTTTTTTGTTCAGGTATGAACTAATACAGAACATTCTGAGAGAAACAAATTATGATCATAGTTTTCCACCGAATTCAGGTACTCTTTTATTTTTATATGAGAGCTTGTCAATCAATTAGTATCAAAACCTTTAAAGAAATTGAACGTTTTATTTTTCTTACATATCTTGTACATTCTTGATAATGGGTAGTCATCAAATAGAAACTATTTCGTCCACTAATATAAAATAACGATGATATCCGATGTTTGTCTGTAACGTTTCACCGGTTAAAATTGTTAAATAATCCTTTGTTGCATGCTTTTATCCTCTGCATGTTCCAATTGACACGAAATTATTCACATTACAATTACTTCCGTTGAAAACAGATATTTACGATTTGACTATTCAACACAAAGATATTTTTTTACGCAGAAAGACCTATAAGGTGCAAAGATCTAAATTTTATTCGTCATAGTTACTCTGGTGGAGCCCTATCGTGGTTAACTTCGAAAATAAGAATGAATCGAGAGGAAATGGCGGCCATTTTAATTCATTTTATTTAGAAGATAGACCACGTGACCAGATTTTATACTGTTAAAAATACTGTTACCTATGTAACAGAAAAACAGTCACGTAGTACACTTGCGTTATCAGTAAGAATAACTTCCAGAGGCCTATGGGAAATAAGCATTACGAAAACAGTGTGGGGCAATAATTTACTTTGACATGATTCAATGTGCCGTTTTTGGTGTGCGACCCCTATCAATTCATTAGATGATGATGAGTGCTAAAATGACGTGTTAATTCTTTCAATACAATGGCTACGAGATTTCGAACATACAAACAAGAAATGTTGTTCATACCGTTACTTATCTATTCGTCAATGGATTAAACAATTGACTGAGACAATAAATATTACATTCCGAAAGTTATATTGTTTGGTTTTATTAACCTGTCAATTACATACTGATTACACGGTCGATGCACACAGTATATTAATCTTCGGTAGATTTTCGGTAAGTTCCGTGAGATGTACGCTGTACGATGGAATTTAATTTAATTTGTATCTCTCAACAAAGTGTACTCAGCGTTATAGCGCAATAGGGTAAAGCACGAGTTTATACTTTAAGTGCCACACGTGTTTTAAGTTCGAGACCGCGTAGGTCTATGTTTTTATTTTCTTATTAATACTTTCAACAATATTGGAGCTATATATGATTATTTTTTGTTGTTCGTTTTGTTTTATTATGTTTTACTTAATTTTGTTATATCTATATTCTTTTTAAATAACATGTTTTAAGAATTCATGTTTAAAATTAAAACGGATTTAAATCAATAAATGTCTTTTCAATGCTGTAAAACACACTACAAACTGTTCCATTAAAATATACGGCAAAAATAAAGAAAGAGTACTAAAACAATGGCAACAGCAAGGATCGAACCACAGACCTCTAAATTATCAGGCATTCTCTTAACCGACTGTATTATTGTGAATTAACGAAAACCTTCACATTAATGACTAATATACTCCACATTAATTCTCGTAAACTACACGGACCAAACCGAAGTGGGATCGAATATTTAAATGAGTTCTATAATGTATGCTCAATTGACAGGTCAATAAAATCAGACTATACTCCATTATGAGAAGATCATTATGATAAGTGATGTAGCTTTTGTTAAACCCGGGTCTATAAATTGGTAAAGACATTTATAAAATTCCAAAAATTTAATCAAAACAGGTTTGAAACGGGTTTGGTTTATACAGAATTTATTTTAGTTCGATTGTGCAGGAAGCTATAAGCTTATAAACACACTTTCGAATCCGTTCCTGGAACCAACCAGTACTGAGCAATGAGTGTAAAGTTTCTTGCTCAAGGAAACAACGACTTGCCCCTGTCAGGGTTTGAACCTATGAGGCTAGCGATCATTAGATTACTAGTCCGAAGCGTTAACCACTCGGCCATGCCGCCACTTTAACTGAAACGGGTTTAATTTGTTTGGTCGAATCAAATTTGTTTAAGCGTTCGTTTTCCAACGTGGGCATAATTATTTTCTTTGTGCGTAAGCCGATGTAACAAATTTCCGTGTTGAAGTGCTTTATATGTTATACAGTATAAATGTAGAAAATGACAGTGTTTGGTCAATTTACCACACAGCCGTAGAGGTAAACAATATAGTGTGAAATGCTACTTTCTCGTTCAATTATTAAAGAAAGAGTAAAAATATTTTAACATTATTTAACAAAATGCTTTAAATACGAGCTTTATCCATTTTTATGGCCGAGTCACTCTATAAGAATGTTTTTTTGTTATACGGACAATTAACTGATAAGAATAGCTCTTGCTGACCTTAAATACCTTAAAATTGTATTAGACAAACTTTGTTGGACACGCCTAGAAAAGTTATGCCCGGGACATACGTCAAAGGTATAACCAATATCACTATCTTTAAAATCACATTTACCTCAACTTTTTAAGAGATATTTTACATACCGACACAGGTTTCCACACATTAAAACGGTTTTGCAAAATTTAATCTTCGTTTGCTTTCGGTGTAAAGGGGCATAGCCAGCCAAACCTCCTTAATTGGTCTCTAAGTTTAACAAAGCTTGTTCATGAAACTATCCGTGGATGCCCTACATCACTGGATCATCTACGGTCCTTGAGGCCAACATGTGAATTAAGTACCCTTGTCTTTTATGCTGTAAGAGAAGAATGGAATATTCGTGACATTTTTTACCTTTTACACTTTAATAAATAGTCGTTATATGCGACAATTGAAAAAATACATTTGACCTGTCTGTATCTGAAAATACTAGTTCTAGATCAAAGTGTTTAATAATCAGAAAATGATGAGCCCACTAAGTAATTTTCGGTCGTTATTTGGCATGATTTTTCTTTGAAAATTATAATGTGCTATACTGCACCGCTATCATAAAGATGTTATGAAATTCTCACCTGTTGTACACGCATAATCATTTTAAACACAAAACAGTAGTTTGAATAAGAAGCCAGTCATATTGCAAGCACTTCAAATACATAATCACTCCAGTACATTTCAAACACATAATCATTGCATACATTACCAACAAATACTTATAACAATCACCACAACCTCATAATATTTGCAACGGTTGAATACAGAATCATTCACATGTATTACAACCATATTTGTTTATAGAGAGTGTCACACATGTTTCCGTCCAACTTTCTGTCACCGATCTTAGCTCAGAGAATGATATTAAAAAGGTAAGTATTATATAACAGAGACTTTATTTTGCAGTTATTTAGATTTATTATGTGTACATTAAAATCTTTCTAGATAAATATCTTTATTTAACATAAACTTACTTTTATTATGAATGCAAAAATAGAAGGTAAAATGCAATGCATTTTGAACTCTGATTTACATTGATACATTAATCCTTTGGTGTAATATATTGTAATATTTGTGATAAGTAGACAGTTAAAAATGCTTTAGAATTACTATTGACTACCATACACCTTACAACTTATTTTTTGAAAAAGAAAATGTTATACTTACATTCATTAACATGATAAAAGGATATTGAATTCACGATATACCTTCGGATGAACTGGACTGATCGAAGACTAAACTTCGAAGGGAGTAACACTTCATATGATGTAATTTCTCTTGGGGATGATATTGTTGATGACATTTGGCTACCAGACTTATACTTTCACCACGAACGGAAATCGGACCTTCATGGTTTCTTTGCGAACAATCAATTGGTTTATTTACATAAGAACGGGAATATTCTATACAGTGGCAGGTGCGTATGCTATTGAAGAATAACCGTTTATTCCTTCATAAAATTAAGGCCAAAATATTAAATTATTTCAATCATTTTATAATGATATTCTATTTTAAATATTAACAGTTTATAGGCAATAATTTTGCTTAATTGAGCTTATATTTTTTTGGCATATTGCAGACAAACATTGATAACTGTTTATTCACGCACTAGTTTTATCACGTAGATTTATTTTCTGCATTCCTTTTATTTATCGATTTCTTTTCTTTTAGTGAATATTACAAAAAATGCGTGAAGACTTTTATCTTAATTGTTTACGTACATTTCGAATGTTGGATGTTATGTTTATAACAGATACTTGTAAACTATCATATGTAAACTTATTACGTCGTCTATTTAGGTTCAGCATAGAGTCTCACTGTCCTATGGAGTTTAGAAAGTACCCATTTGACAAACAAACGTGTCCTATAATCATTCAAAGCTGTAAGTATCTCTGACTATCCCCTGTACATTAAAAATATAAAAAATGCATAGAAGTCTAGCTAATAAGGTTCTCTATGGTCATGGTTTAGTTCCATTTTTCTTTATATTCCAGCAATTGAAACGCATTATTTTTAACGTAGTGATATATGATATCGTCCTAATCGGTTTCATTTTTCAATTAAATTGTTTGAATACGTCTATATCTATGGTAACAAACGAGAATTAAGATCAACAAGGCAAATGCAACGATCACCGGCACACTCATGCAGGGCACCTAGAAGGCAACAAACCAAAACTGGGAGTGGACATTAAAGCGGCGAAAGTAGAAAGAGACGTTATGTGTAAATAATAAAGAACTAAAACGGACACATATGAAAATTAAAGGGATGTAAGGTTAAAAGTAGGGGGTAAAGAAGAGGTTGGGTGAGAAACGACAATCCAACATGAGAGACATCACAAAACATGTAAACATTCAAAACAAGTAACTGACCAGCAGTGTATATACCTGTCTGTCGGTATATGTACATTTCCCTTATTTTCTTTCCTTACCAATCAATATTTCATAGAACAGATAATTTAAGCTATTGTTGTCTACACTTATGTTATATCTATTTAGTATTTCTTAGTTATATTATTGTAAGAAAATACTAATAAAACGTAACTTTTTTCATTAAGATATTTATGCAATTTTGCTTTTAGATGCCTTTCCGAGTGACATCCTTCGGTTAAATTGGAATGGTGGTAAAAACGCGATTAAAATTGACAATGAATCTAAAAATAACCTGAAAGTAGATCAAGATTCTGTAAAGCATACATTTGATCCACCTTATCCAGATGCAGGTAAAAATTCAACCATCTATAAAAATTCTTGAAATATTTTTTTTATTTTGCTGCCTGAAACAGTAAAAATGCCTCAACTTAAAAAATATAAAAAAGCTATAATAAATAAAAGATAAAAAGAAAAAAATCTATATTCGGAAATTTAAGATTTTAAAAGGTTGCTCTATAGACTATGCCGTTTTGTGTTCTTTTAAAGACCCAACCTAAAGGTTATGAACATATTTTGAGCAGTCACAAAATATAGCCTTAGATCGGTATATATTATATGTGGCCATGTTTAAAGATCAAAGAAAAATAATAAAACACGGATTAGATGGCAACTTACAAATAACAGAAAGCAGCGTGTATAACTTACATTCATTCATATGTATGATGATTAGTTTGATTTTAATACATATTTTATTTTTTTTGTGCTTGTAATTATCTTTCTCATATTTTCAGTTGCAGTATTTTCAACACTAACTGCCAATTTAGTTTACGAACGACAAACGGCATCGTTCATAATTATGGGACCTCCATTTTTTTTTTTTGTAATTGCCCTATTGTCATTTCTCATACGTGATGACTTTTCGACGAGAATCACGCTCATTACAGGAACTTCAGTCAGTAACTTTGTACACTGGACAGGGATACGAAGCACTCTTCCATCCGATTCATCTTTTAATTATTTTGATATTTTGATGATAGTTAACTTTATATATTTTGGAGTGATCTTAACAATTCACATTGGTAAACGATATTGGAAACAATACAAGGTAAATCGCTTTTCGTGTTGCCATTAGTTAATATGAACGATACTCACTAGAAATCACTTCATTTTTATGACAATGCGCTCTCAGAGTTTTAAATTTAGAAAAATGAATCGAACCAAAAAATATAAATTTCAGATTTACAGTTTCAGGTGTCCTTAAATATTATTTTTCAAATAAATTGCATAATTTTATGATTTAAAAAATAATACTTTGCAGTTAATTGACTTCATTTAATATGTTAATATATGACAACTTGTCTAATGAAGCCCGTGTCAATAACAGGATGGTACTAGTAGTGCGAGTGATATTGTCTTGCCGATCTTTTAGATGTGCGTTTTAATGTTACAAAATTTCATGCATTACTTTAAAAACAATTGTGGCGTTTTATCCTCATGCTATATTTCTCTATATTAACATAAGAATTGTAATGAGTTACACTTAACCCATGCCTTAATACTTTAAATGCGAGAATGCAAGGAAAGAGTTGTTAATTGTGGAATTGAACATTTAAAATTCAAGCGATTACTTATACATCTCGTCATTTGCCTCGAAGTACTCTGAGACGCGTTTTCTTGAGATGCATATTTTTAGTCTACGATTATTCGTTGTGGTACGTGCACTTTGGTATACTGGTGTGTACAAAAAACAAAGAAGGCAGATCAAAGTCTTTGTTTTGAATGATACTTACATCAAGCAATGATTTCTCCTCAGTTTTGAAAAGACAAGGTGCGGTAAATAATATAAGAGCGGTAAACTGTTGTTACAATACATTCTGTCAAAACTTTTTAACGATACCATACATATGACTTGGACATTATGTTATAGAAGTGTTAAAGTATGATACCATTTGAAGAGCATTGTCATTTATTTACATATTTGATACATACTTGGACAAATGAACACATAGGTCAAATCGGAACTGTTGAATAATTCTGATATGACATTTATTTGATAAGACCGTTAAGAAAAAATGAAAGATGTGATTAAATTATCATCACATTGTTATTTACTAATTTTAAAAGTTTGATTAATATTTTTACAAAAGACCACCCATTACAAAACCGGTGAGCTGAAGTATTTCGATACGATCATCATTTGACCTCAAGCTCAAAAAATTGAAACAGCTTACATAATCACACTTTGGTGTTTTTTTGCATATTTATGTGTAACTTGGACAAAAGAACACACATGGAACAACACCGACATGATGATTGATAACAATGTAATTTTACCTATAATTGATCTTGACCTCTTATGTCAGAACACCTGTATGCAAAATTTAAACAAAAATTACCGTATTGTTTACGAGTTATGGGGCGTTTTTTCTTATCTAAATCATGACTATTAAAAGGGTTCTTTTTCAGAAATAAGAAAGTCTAAGTAAAATATTATATAATCAATATGAAAAAACACGTTTTCCTATTGAACATTGTTAATAAACAAATAAAAGCATTCAACTTTTAAATGTTACAAGCACATTTATTGTTTCCTCTCAAAATGTTTGAAATTTCCATACAGATGTTACACTATTCCACTCATTTAAAACAAGAGCCGGTTGAACCGGGTGATGCTCCCCGAATAGGTTTTGGACACAGGAAGGTATACCTCTTGTTGTGTCAGAATTATGTCACAGACAAAGTTCAAAGTGTAAAAACAACCCAAATATTGTGTACGACACGTTGTCTCAATATGGTGATCATTTTTGTGAAATAGTTGTAAAATCCGACTTCAAATAACGAAGTTATGCACCTGACATTATTTTGCCGCAAGGTCATGCTGTGACCTTGACCTTCAAGGTAGTGACCCTAATGTTGCATGCCACATGCGATTCAATATGGTGATCATCTCTGTGAAATAGTTGTTAAATCCGACTTCCAGTAACAAAGTTATTGGCCGAACACGATTTTGCTGCAAGGTCATACCGTGACCTTGACCTTTAAGGTAGCGACCCAAATGTTGCGCGCGACACAATGTCTCATTGTGGTGATCATTTCTGTGAAATAGTTGTAAAATCTAACTTCAAATAATGAAGTTATGTGCCGGACACAATTTTGCTGCAAGGTCATGCTGTGACCTTGACCTTCAAGGTAGCGAGCCAAATGTTGCGCACGACACGCCATTTTAATATGGTGATCACTTCTGTGAAATAGTTCAAAAATCTGACTTCAAATAAGGAAGTTATGGGCCGGACACGATTTTGCTGCAAGGTCATGCTGTGACCTTGACCTTCAAGGTAGCGACTTAAATGTTGTGCATGACACGTCATCTTAATATGATGATCATTTATGTGAAATACTTTTTAAAACCAACTTTAAATAATGAAGTTATGGGCCGGACACAATTTTGCTGCAAGGTCATGCTGTGACCTTGACCTTCAAGGAAGCGACCCACATGTTGCGTGCGACACATTGTCTCAATATGATGATCATTTCTGTGGAATATTTTTTAAATCTGACTTCAAATAACAAAGTTATGGACTGGACACGATTTTGCTGCAAGGTCATGCTGTGACCTTGACCTTCAAGGTAGCGACCCAAATGTTGCGCGCGACACGTTGTCTCAATATGGTGATCATTACTGTGAAATATTTTTAAAATCCGACTTCAAATAATGAAGTTATGGACCGGACACGATTTTGCTGCAAATAACATGGGCCGGACAGGAATTCGTACGGAAGGACGGACGGACGGACAACCCGACGACTTTATGCTCCCCCGAATTTTTTCGGGGAGCATAAAAAATGTTTAACCATTGTGATATTTGGAGAGTCTTATTCAAAGTATCTAGAATTTACCACATAGAAATGGTGCTTTCAAAGTGTGTCTAAATTTTCTTAAAAGTATTAATTTACAATTTAGAAAACAAAAGTAGATTTACACTGTTGTATTTACCTGTTATATGTTTGGTAATTAATAATTATAAACTTTTATTACAAATGTCCGTTTAATGTGTTTCTGCCTTTTAATTCGGCTATCAAAAATATTGTATTACTTTAATAGTAAATCTACTTCTTTTTGCAGCAGAGGGTAACGACTGAAGTAAATAACGACGTAGCTGAGATTTGTTCCGATCGAAATGAACAAATTTGCGTCAGAAAGAGCCGCAAAGAAAACAAACAACAACAACTGTTATCATCACATATAGAATTTCAGCAAGCTTCGGTAAATATACGACCTGTATTAATGTTTGCCAATAAATTATCAATGTTTTTTAATTGTAGAAGATAAACTTGCTTTCGGTATATAACAAAGAAGTCTGTTATTTTTTATGTTCAATACAACATTGATTGCAATCGTATAAACGAAAATATTGCATCTGATGTCCATTCATTGAAATATATTTCAATGTTATATGCAAAACTAACAAAAATTATTTATATATCATGCCTCTCTCATATATATTATTTTTCTTTAGAGAAGTAATGTTGAGAAATGATAATAATAATGATGGATTCAAAGCATTATTGGTGCTAATCATGCAATTATGAATAAGTAGACAAAAAGGGCTGAGTGTGCAAAAAAATGGAAAAAAAGTAGCAAAGCGTAAACAAAGAAGTATTTTGACTTCCATACAAAACACCAAATCACTTTAACTATACCAATTCCCAAAAATTAGAAAAAAATTAAAATTGATAACCTTTAAGTTATTCTAGGAAACCATAACTGGGACATTAAAAGTAAGAAGAGCTGCAAAAGGAGACAGGACGCTAAATACTTGACACAGTAAAGGAAGACAAAACTTGAACGAATAATAAATTATGATATGATATAGATATATTTCAGATTGTGAGTATTTTTGTACCTCACAGTTGAAATATGACAATGTCATTAAAAGTTACAGACATTTTCATGCTCTAATGGAAAGACAATACTTTGTGATCTGAAGACAATGCCTTGAGTAAAAAAATGATACGAGCAAAACGTATACTATGTTATCATTTCAGAGAGCAAATATCTCTTGAAATAAAAATGTTATGAACCTTGTCATGCATGATGTAAGTAATTACAAAGAACAATCATCTTAAGTACATGTCATTTACAATTACAAAGATAATGCTTAGAAATAAATTAATTTTCACTAAATTCTAATTTTAAAGATGAGATAATTTTCGAAATACAGGAGCTACAATAATGAATTGTTAGGTGTTTTTTGAAAAATATTTTTGAAGTCTGAATTAAATATAATAGAAAATTCTGAGTATTAGGGATTATGATTCAGTAAATAATCTAAATATCAAGTAAAATATATTTCAAACTTATATGCAAACCAAACAAATTTTTTATTTAAGGATTTTAAGTAATCTTTACTGATTTGCCGCGTAATGTCATATGTTCTTCTCCATAACGTCATCACATCACGACGTAACAGTTCCAATTAAATTCTGTAAAATATATCGATTTTATTTTTTTTAAAATTTGTCATAAAAGTTATTCAGTCATTAACTTACTTCTCTTTAAGCAGCAAAATTACATACGACAGAATTAATTCGTGTTGATAATTTCATTTAACTAAGAAATACAATATTTTCATCCGCATTGAACTATAGACCGGTGTCGCGTAATGATCACACGCGTTACCACGCGTGCGATTATTATGCAGGGTCGTAATTATCACACGGTTTTGGGTAGTGCCGTGATAATCACAAGGACGGTATTATATTTACACTTAATATTCTTGAATTATATATCATTTTTTTCCTAAATGATTTCCGCGTCTAATGGTGTAAATTTTATTAAAAAGCTATGATTTTCCACCGCATAGGGGAATATTAAAGTGTAGACTTAAGACAGAAAACATTTTTCCTAAATATCAGCGTGCAATCTTTCGATACAGACATTAATATAAATAATGGCTGATATAATTGAAAAATATTTTTCAGTTTATGTTTCTCTGTTTTAAAATAGTTAAAAAAAGTCTGTTTCATGGATTTCCCTCCGTTTTTTTTTTTTAAATTTATGTTAGTCCCCTTTTTAGCTGAAATATGTTTAGTCTTATTTGTTGCGCTTTGTGTGTTTGCATGCAATTCAAGATAATAGTAAAATCCAAAATTAAATGAAAAGAATAAATAAATAAAAAAATAAATTTAAAAAAAAGGAAGACTCGAGATGGCAAAGATCTATATGGTGTGAAAAAGGGTTAAGTATACGGAAAG